CGTTACCGCACGCGCTCCAGTTTACCCGGAAAGCGAACTCAAGAAGGCACTCCGGAATCACTTTTAACCACTCAGAGGGGAGATTCGAAGTTCACAGCTAAGAAACTTCTAAAATGTTAACTATTCATTCGATATCCAAGATATAAATTATTCAAGTTCATACATTATTTCTCAATATTCAAAACACTTTACCACGGATATAATCCGTCCAAACCTTCGATAATAATCCACTGTATGAGATACTAAGTAAACAATGGAAACTTTTATAATATCTATGTTAAATTTCACATTTATGATATGTGATACATTGAACATTTAGTAATTATCATTTAATTTTTAGTTATTGTATTTTTTTAATTTTACGTTTATTTCTGCGGATTGATGCCCCTCCTGTTGTATCAGGATTTGTTCCCATTTTACCCATGCTTGCGCATCTGATAACTGGAGAATTAAACTCAAAAGTTTTGACTTTCACAGAAAGTATTTTGATGGTAATTTTATACGGGAACAAACAATATTTAGTTTTCTTTTCTTCTTTCCATCGCTCTTTAGTGGATTATCAAACAGTGCGGTCATGTAATGTCACGGTCAATGAAGCTCAATTGATTTTGAAATGTCTTTCCATACGTCAATTTAAGAACGAGGAACTGGGTCAAAAGCTGATTAGCAAAGTGGAACGAATGGTAGAATAAACTCTAATCCTCGTATTGAGTCACTCAGACGTTTCCAACCGCGGAAGATAAGTTTCACGTTTCAGTTACTACTAGATAGCTTTTTCAGTGACCTCTCAGTAATGAAAAAGTAATGACTCCCAGTATTGATATAATTCCTAAACGAATATTTATTTTCAGTTCGCTGGCGAGTGATGTTTTTTCTTTTATTCGCGCAGCAATTTCAGCTCCAAAATGTTAATTTTTTGTAAAAACAAGGAAAGGAAATGAAAGCACTGATATTCGTAATTACCACAAAATTCCGGACATTTCAAACACACAAAAAGGGAAATCAAAATTAAAAGCTACTAATGGTGGAATAGAATGGCACAGACTCTCTCGTATTAGTTTTATATTTCCTTTGGTCTAGGCTAGCTAATCAGACTTGTCAGATACTCTTGCCTCCTGCCATCTATCGCCGCCCAAAGTGAATTATTTATTTTTTTCCTTAATTTTTCGGTTTCCTAATAGTACCACGGAAATATTATTTTAAGGATATTAAAGAACGTAAAACCTCGTCCTAAATGTCAATTTTCGTTGAAAAATTTTGAACCGTATTTAAAAGTCTTACGTGTAAGCGCCACTGAATATTCGAAATGTGGAGCTCTTTTTCACTGACATTTTTTTAAGTTTTCAAAAAACTTCATGGAAGCCATTTGTACCACATTAACTCACAAATACAAGTGTTTACTAATTCGTTGGAAATGTGAAAATTAACGGCGTGATAGATCTTTCAAATAAATTACATTTGCGTAACTTTTTAAAAAAACAGGAAAAAATATCCGAATAAGAACAGATTAAAGAGTGCAATTAGTACTATCGGTTCGAAAAGTTAAAAAATATTGAAGCCATTTTTGAGGAAATAACGTTTGAGCATTCCTGAAAATGTGGAATGTTGAGCTAGAAAACGGTTGAGTTTTCGACCAACTTTATTTACATTATTTAAAGCACATATACTCATAAATATAATAATGTAATGTAATAAATATAATAATGTGAACAAATTGCCGCTAGCATAAATATTAACGACGCGAGAGAGAAGTCAAAATATTACTTTTTTTTGTAATTTTTCAAAAAACAAAAGAATAGAGCAGTATGGCGTTTACTTTACCTTGTAGGGTACATTTAGAAATAATATACTATTTAGCAATAATTAAATACAAGGGTTTGAAAATCATGATCAGCTGTATGTGAGGTATAAAATCATGTCACGAAAGTTATCGGATCTCTCGGATTTGTTCCGCAAAATGCATGAATGAACTTGTTCAATCTCACAGATCGTTTATAGAGGCTTCAAGAGTCACTCGATCCTCCGAGTCACTCGATCCATTCCTTAGAAAGCTGGTTGCAACGTAGATTTTGTATTAAACCGATGCCCAACATCTTTTATTGTGAATTTAAGAGAAAATGTTATTGATACATATTATAGTAATCATTGTCTCATCTTCATGCGAGCATGTACGTCGACATATTGATTTATTGATTTGTGATATCGGGCGCGTCAACTACTAAGGTCATTAGTCACGTAAATGTAGTACATGTTTTCCTCGGGAGGTGGCGGTGGTCTTTCTCCGCTGGATGACCAGATTCGGCGCCAACCGCTTGCGAGGTTTTCCCAAACCAGGTATCTCCCACCAGTGGGGCACCGCCCCAGCCGGGAAAAGCTCTAAGCTCCCGACCGGTCTCCGGTCATGTATGGTAGTGTAGTGCATGTAAGTGTGTGTGTGTAAGGGGTGAGTATAGGACGAGGAAGAGGAAGGAAAGATCGCGCGCGGTCCGTGGCCCGCTTGGTAGGGTACTGCTCCAGCATCCACCTGTTGTTGAGCAGAGAAACCACGGAAAACTACCGATCAGAGCAGTCGGCCGTTAGAATTCTCATCCAATCAGCCGCTGGAGTCGACACTAGTTATGTAGTAGCTAGTGTCGAAAATTCTGTCACAGCCGGGACGTGAACCCTGTGACTTTCCGGTTGGAGGTACTGCAGTGACAACATTTGATTCCCTGAGCCACCTAAGCCGGTGACCCATCCTAGCTGATTCGCATTTTGATGAATTCTCCGTCAGATAAGGGAAGAGTCTCGCAGAAATTCGCGTGATCACAATCCAGACAGAGCTGGCATGAATATGTAGTAAGTACGAGTAACATTAACATGTTGACAAATATCAATAAGAAGAAATCTTTAAAATGGACAGAAGATTTAAATTACAATCCTGCGAAAAAAAGTAAGAAACCCTATATCCCCTCTGTGGGTTCGTATCATTTATAAGAGATCTAAACAAAATCCCGTAAGTGTAGTACTCCTAAGAAGGAAATACCCTTAAAATTAAATGGACTAATAAATAGAGATTTCAATTAAATCTAAACAAATTCCAAGCTAAAATGTTGTCCCCCAAAAGCCTAATTCTTAGAGACTGGATTTCAAACACTATTTTTCCTATAAGCAGAAGTATGCTCACTTGGTATGTGTATAAAACATTAAATTTCGAATCTTTTAAACACTGTTTTACAACGCTTATCTTTCTTATTTTGCCTGCTGGTAAGCATAATTTTTCTGCAATTTGCTAATTATTTTGGATATTTTATTTGAAAACATTTAGGCGATAACAACTTACATTTCTTTCAATTATTTTACTTTCGTTCGTTGCAGCTAATATCAATTTCTTGTATTTTATTTATGTATGTTATTTAAAAGAAAAATAAAGATAATGTCAAATATTTTGTGCAGTCGAGCTCAACTTGAAAATCCATGCCTCTAAAGAAATTACAAACGCGACTTGAACTGCAACCAGTAACAGAGTACTCCGCTGCAAATGGGAGCAAAGCACAAGCAAAAGAAAGGAAAAGCCACCATTCATCATTCTTGTTTAGAAAGTCTCACAACTGTACCTACTGTAAGCTACCTTTATTTCCGGGCAGAAAGTACGTCTTTGCCTCCCTAGGGAGGAAAGTACGAATAGTGCACCAACAGTACTACGAAATACACGTTTATTACGAACTTCTCCTTGACAATATAATAACTCGTCATTCGTCCCAATAATAATTAATACAATACAAAAATAAATTTAATACAATACATAAAATAAAGTAGCTTATACAACCATATTGTCAGAAACAACTAATTTATACAAAAATTACAGTAGAACTTAGGATTGTGAGTAACTTGGTTCGCGAGTGTTTTGCATTCCGAGTAACACTTTTGAATACATTTTAACTCGATATTTGCGCGATGCTTTGCAATACGAGTAGACCTGATTAGCCTTCCCTCCCTCCCACACATGCAGTAAAATTGTGCGTACAGCGATTTTATCACACTCAGTTTTTATAGATCAATGAACTTCGGACTACGCATGTGAGAAAACTACTGGAGGAGAACTTTCTACCATCCTTTTCGCCTGAGAAATTGTTTCTCCTTCGCTATGTCGACGGAAAAGGGATGCCAAGGTCTTGTCTTGCTCGGTCTATACACTTCTCACCGGTGTTGATGGTTACATATTTGCTGCAGTCGCAGATATTTATTTGAGGCGGGAGCTGCAAATACTAGGCGTTTTTACTATATAAGGCCCAGAGCATTTTGTTTCACTCTATAAGAATCAATAGTTTTGTATTGTGAGCGAATCATCAGCAGTTCAATTTTATTTTATGGCAGAATTTGCTTTGATTCACGAGTTTTTTGGATTAAAGCACGATGCCAGAACGGATTATGCCCGCAATCCAAGGTTCTTCTGTATTCCTTAACATGAACACACATAACATTTGTAGCAAGTATTAATTTGAATTCTACGAATTGATGGACTCAAATAAGATTCTTGGTAATATTTACTGCCTCAGCTTTGTCAAACTCATCACTGCTACCCTTGAATAAACTACATTTGTATTTTTTGAAATGATGCGGAATCACTGAGAAGTTTCTTTGAAACGTCAACCTTCTGGTTTTATACTCTCGGCGATGTATCCCTCTGCTACGATGGAAGTCTTCCAGACACCGTGACGCTTAGGGCTAAGTATATCTGCTTCTGCATTAGCCAAAAAACAGATGCCGAAGAACGTCAAAAGCAATGCCCGTTATTCGTCTCAGTATTTTTCAAATACAAAATTCTGGGATTTTTCTTGGAATCAAGGTCAAGTTTTGAACTGTGTGTTTACCTGATTTGTTGTTTATAAAAAAAACCTGTCGTGTATTACTCTATCAGTCGTTCGTGAAACCGAATATTTCTGCGCAATTTATGCCATCCTTCTCCATTTTGCCACCCTGTTTTGCATTTTGAATCTGGTGCTAGCAAAATCACATACCACCCTGGCCGTATTGCTTATACCATCAAGGTCAATCCAGAATATTGTCGCACTATCGGCAATACTTATAGACACGCAGCCCTGCGGGTAGAAGCTGGCCGCGAGTACTTTGTGAATACCATACCAAGACTACGAATACAAAAAGATCACAGCGTCACCGAAAATAAAATGAAGCGAGCATTTTTGAGAGTTGGGAAGCTGGGGCTCATCTGGTTGGCGCAATTCGCAACCGGTTAGAGTTTGGTTTGTGGATTCGAATCCAACATGACGCAGCACGTTTTTGCCACATGATTACGCGGTAACATCCAAGGATAGACAGAACGCAGACCATAATAACATCTAAATCATCGGTCATTATTTCATCGTTGCCAGTTATATCAAATACATTGTTGCCAAGTCAAGTACCAGATGACCGTTACTTGATTGTCAATGTTCTGTCCAGGACTCGACTCTAGATGATGATAAAATAGAGGGAGAAGAAAGAGGAGGGAAGGAGAAGAAGACGATAAAGAAAAAGGCGAACTTTTCCATATTGTATATAACAGGTAATATGTATAGATGCTTGTCTTTCGCGGGTAAATATCTAGTAAAGAAATATGATTTAAGACATTATTTAGGACTCTAGCAGAACTAACTTGCCGCTGTCTGCGCATGTATCACAATCATTAACCAGGGGAATAAAGGAATTAATTTTTAGTGTGAGTAAAACGGAATTTAAAATATAAAATTTTGTTTACATTCCCACTTCTCTCACTCCACCGCGTTCACCAG